GGCGCAGTCGTGCATTCGCATGCTGTAGTCGCTAGACCTTTGACCACGCGTCCTCGAGAGAGGACGGAGCATTGTTCCCACAGGACCCATCAGATCGGGGAGGGGGGGGGGGAGTCATGTAATCGCAAGCCATAGTCGCTACCTGACGACCATTGCCCACGGTTCCTCATCATTTTTCCCACAGGATCGATCACCGATGATGGCCAATCGTGCTCTATCCAGATCGCCTCCCGCCTTTTCTGACCACTTCCTGCGCTACCGTCTTCTCCTGACCATTCCAAGCCTCCAACCCACTTCCTATGCTGCAGTAGGTGGCCCGATACAATGGCGGCTTGAATAGTGGAACCGACGATACAGTGGCATCACAATCTCTCTTGTCACAATCTCAACATGTACATTAACCCGATACATCGAATAGTTGCACCGCCCTGAATAGTGGCATTGTCTCCTCTTGCCCCTGCACGCCAATGTATCGGGCCACCTGCTATGCCGTCTGTCCCATGCTTCAACCTATCTCTGTAACGCCCGAATTTCTATTTTTTCCAGCAAGCAGCGCCAGGTGTGTGTATATGTGTGTGCAAAGATCTTCACGCCTTTTAAGCTCACTTCCTGTTCTACCGTCATGCCTCAAACGGTAATCCTCTGAAACGCCCGACTTTCAGCAGGCGGCGCTGGGGGGGCGGGGGTGCAAACTTCTTCCGCGGCCGGCGGCGGTGTCCCAGACGAGGAGGGCGCTATCGACCCAACCGGCGGGGCCGAGCTGCTGGCGCGCTTCGAACACGCCTCCGACCAGCTTGCGTCGATGGGCTACGTGAGGCCGCTCAAGCGGAGGAAGAGGCCGGAGGCGGAGGGCGCGGGTAAGGGTCAGGCTCCGGGCCCGAAGGGTAGCGTGACGAGGCTTGTCTTCTCCTACACCATGGAGGACGGCGCGCTGTAGACACAGTCGAGGGACCTCTTGAGTACGATCTACACTGGACAACGGCGCTATTCAAAGAACAGAACGATTCAGTGTTTCTGAGCGTGAGAGCCGAAAACACCGGCACTATACCGGGCACCCCGGCACTATTGGACCGGCACTAAACAGATCCCTCGACTGTTGCTGTAGCCTTGTAGAAGCCGAAATCCAAGGCTCCTCTCGGGAACGATTTCTCGATTCGGTAACGATTGGTACGGGAATCAGCGAACACGGTAGTCCACGCTAATATTTAGGTGGTTACTGACCATCATGGTAAACTTTGGGTGGTAACTGGCCACCACGGTAATGCACAGTAATATTTGGGTGGTAACCGCCCAGTACGGCGGTAACTCCCGTACGGGAATTAGCCACCGCGGGAATGCACGGTAATATATTTGGGTGGCCACGCGGCACCACGGTAATGCCGCGGTATGGGACCACCACGGTAATCCACCACGGTAGTGCACGGTAACGTAAATTAGGATGGAAACACTCCACAAAGCGATGCACTGTAACTGTGTTGCGTTTTTTTTTTCAGTGCTCTTGACACCCAAACAGCGCGTTCCACAAAAAACACGAGACACACGAATGGAACCTATCGCATTTCGTTTTTCAACTGTTAGGCGAAAATCTCGCGGTCAAGTTGCCGAAAGACGAGGCAAAAGGCAAAGTATAAAACAAACGAACTACATCATTACCTCCAGAGCGACACCTCGAAGTATCCATCACTTGATCACTACCCATATCTATCTCAGCTACGTGAGGACTGAAAACACCAAACTTATCTGCCAGACGATGCATAAACCACCAGCTACCACGTACTCACCCGCATATCGAGCTCAATCACTATCATAGTGTACCGTATCTGCGTCACACCGCAGGCAAGCAGTTCAAACACAACAAGCGAAAAATACACCACACTACAGACGGCAAAGTTGGAAGCGACGCGCTGCAAAGCTCGTTGTTAATGAACTTGATCGACTTCATAAGTCGCGAGGGAAGGGATTGCTGTACCCTGTTCGCGATAAAAATATCTCAGACAGGAACCGCAGGAGGGGATCCAGCCCCCCACTCCCATGTGACCCCGGTTGGGTCGTCTAGCTAGTAGAGGTGGAGAATGGGGGCCAGAGGGGCAGACGACAGAGTCCAATCATAATAGAAAAAAGAAAAAAATGACAGCAATACTCAAAACCAACATATATATACTTCTAGTATATATTCAAAGACTCAAGACACGGAAAAAAAAGTTCCCTTTCGTTTGATGGATCGATACATGAAAAGAGAGATAAACTGCACAGAAGAGCAAAAAAGAAAAGGAGATGGTGTGGAGTCAAACCCGCCACGAGCAGTGCTGCAAATATAGACTATTGACTGCCCCCCCGCTATGTGTACGGTAAAATATGTTTTGTTCCCTTACGATACCGGGAATAATTCTACATCTCGCCCGTAATTGCTTCGGAGGTAACCAAAGGCCATGGGATTTCGACATTTTGCACGGTAATTGGTTGGGTGGGAACAACGAAATTTCATGTCCTTGGTAACGATTTGGATAGGAATGGGAGAAGGTCATTTGCTCAGTAATGATTTGGATGGGTACGGTAACCGGAAAATATCAATCAACGTTACCAATTACCGTTCCCGTGGAAATCTCGCGGGAAAGTACCGCGGGAAAATTCCCCAGAGAGAGGAGCCTTGCCGAAATCAAACATTAGTCTAGGTTGACTACAGTAGTCTACAGTAATTGGTTTGGTGTAAGCTTCGTATGTAAGAGTCGGTAGTGGGGTCCGAGAAGCCCCGACGTTTCCAACCAGGGTCCCGGTCTATGAACGGTGCACTAGGATTTGCAGTAGCGGCTGGATACGGGGGAGCAGCTTGCAAGCAGGCTGGGAAGTTATCGAAAGGCCGAACGGGCGCGTGACCCGATTTGTCATCTACTACACCATGGAGCACGGCGCGCTGTAGATAATGGCCACAGCGGTAAGGTAGTAGCGGCTGACGCAGCATGCAGGGAGGCCAGGAGGTTATCTTTATCAGGGGGGCGTTGACTCGACTGTCCTCTCCTACATTTCATCATGGACGACGGTACGCTGGAGATAGCAGGCGCAGCGGTTGTAGCAGCTGAGGCCGCAAGCAAGAAGGCCAGGAGGTTGCCTTCATTAAGGAGGGGGGCGTTGACTCGACTGTCTTATCTTCTTACATCATGGAAGGCGGCGCGCTGTAGATAGTATTTGTTGAGCGGTGGCGCGCAGTCCTGGCGAATGCTACGATTTGTCGTCGCCGCGCTGTTTGCGCGAGGAAAGCTCCTGCCCCTGCTTCAGATGCATCGACAGGATTGCAGTGCATAGCGGCTGATTGCGGCCTTGGGCAGCATGCACGTATGTTAGGAGGTGGTTTACCGATTTTCAAAGCTCGATCTCTCCGCGACGAAGAGGATGTATGCATACATACGTGAAACGATGCGTGCTCGGAAAGTTCATAGATAGCGAGACCGGCTTCAACGCCGCTACTGCTGTTGGCGCTGCCACCCTGTTCTGCTGCGGAGCAATCGAGCATCATTGAAAATCGGTCCACAGGGTGTGATATCTTGTGTCGCCTACACGTACGGTAATTGTACGGGCGGTTTTATCCATGATGATGTTCTAGACTATTTATTACTTCAAAGTACTTCATACACGCACTACCCCCGCCCGCGTGGGGTGGGGGATCACGACTTGTTTTTGAGAGGACCGCCAACTCTAACATCAAGTGAAGGGTCACACTTGGTTGATTCGGAGTTTGTTGTGCCCCTACCCTCTGAAATATTTAATTGTCCAACGGCGGTCTCAAAAAACAATACGAAAGCAGTAAAAAATACAGCTGCACATAGCCTACTTGGTGCGTGCCGCGTGCGCCGCGCTCGCATGCTCGCACGCTTGCGCACACGCCCGCCTCAAGAGCCATCTTGCTGGCAAATGTTTCCTTGAGAAATCCCTCAGTACAGCTAGTGCTCGTAAAAGAGAAAGGTATCATCGTGTGCACACACCCCGGATCGAAAGCTCGACTGCTGTACTCGACGCCCGTACTCCACAACAAGAGGGTGCCGAACCAAATGGTCCGTTTTCGGAAAGCTCTCGAGAAGACTGTTCCAACCCCGCCATTTTCGGCCCCGTTCCTAATTGTGGTGCAGACTGCTGTAGTCGAGCGTTGATCATTGGTCCAGGGGGTGTGGTGTCTTACGACACGCACGGTAGGAATCTAAACACTTGCTGTCACATGCATACATTTATGGATGCAATGGGTAATTTGACTACAAAAATGTAAGGTCTCCAAGCTAAGGCCGCTGTAACTCGCACCCGTTGCATTGAGTGTATTTAAGAATTGCGTCATATCCGCGCAAATCATGAAAGAGAGCAAAACGCAAATGAAAGACTGGGATGTGATTTGAACGGTTGTAGATAGGGCCTTTCAAGTGTCCCACGCCCAACGGACTGATGCTGTGTGACTCAAAGAACGTGGGTGGTACTGTCCCAAAATTTCCCACGAGCTCCTCCGCCTCTCTCTCTGCTGCGGTGCATATATTTCATTCTCTTTTGGAATTACCACCCGTGCTTCGTTTCTTGGAAACCCGCGATCATTACACATTGTTCTCGATCCACGGCCAACCTGCTGTTGAGCAAAGTAGCAAGTCAGCATCCTTTGATTCAACGTGGGCTGCCCACGGTTGATTGGTGGGCACTATCACAACCCTCCCAAGTTTTTTGCAGCCCTTTCCATGCCTCTCATGGTTGATCGTCGTTGAGGTACATTGCCCGTGTTTCTTGTTAGTGTTGCTCGTTGTGTTCGGCGTGCGAAGACCCCGCGCAGAGGGTCCCTTTTTACCCCCTATTGTTGTGGTGGCCAAATCTCATGGCAGTGATCCACACCATTGAGGTCGAGCTGCTTCCTAAGCTGGCGAGCCGCAAGTCAGCGACCATTGATAAGGGAGATTTTTGAGGAGAATGGCGCGGGAATGTACACCGGCATCCAGACCGTCTTGAAGGACATGTGAGCAACGAGTGCATAGATCGTTGCTACTGCAGCACTCGCTGTTGCCTTGTGCAGTTGGATGGAAGGAAGTAGCCTGTTGGGAGTCTGTTCAACTGTGTGTGACATGAATCGTTTGGGTAATGAGGTAATTGTTTCCTTGGTAGCGAGTGCAGGTGCGGTCTAAAACAGCCACACGGTGCTATTGTTCTCGTTCGGGGGCGCGCCCTGTGTTGCTTGATGCTAATTCTAGCACCCTAGGGACATGATGTGGCGATTCGCCAAGGAACGCCTGGCTTCTACGAGTACCTACTGTCGAAGGGGCACCTTTTGGGGCAGGACCTACTTCACGAGTGCTTCCTCGCGCAGGTGACAGAATAGTTTGCACGTTGTACTGTATTTCACCTGGCAGATTTCACCTCAACACTACCAACCGAGGCCTACAAGGTGCCATGGACAACTTTGATTTATTCCCACGTCTACATAGGCCAGGAATAATCTCCCTGCATTTATTTTCTCCCGAAGTCCGACCCATGGCTTTTCCCGCAACGCTACAAGACGCACTTGTGTGCTTGCATGGGGAAGGGGGTGCTTATCCCGATTGACAATTGCGTCGAAAGTAAAGGCTGGTGATGCAGCTACTGTGTGACCTGGGACCGTGAAGAGAACAGAAAACCAACTGTGGTGTTGGTAGAACCAGCGAGAAGTAGTTAATGAACACCCGTATGTCGACTGCCAACGATCATTCTTTGAGCAACCTCTGACCAAAAGTACATCATCTACATGCTTCCACCCCTTCGGCCCCCTCGAGCGTGAACAGGTAACCCTGCCCCTGCTGCTGATGATGCTCTGCGACGCGGAGCACACGCAGCTTAAGGAGGCTGGGGACCTTGAGTCCCGGCAGTGCTACGCCGAGCGCCAGGTGCAGGCGTTCTCTCACTGCCAGAATGGCGGTTTCAAGACGAAGAAGGCGTGGGAGTTTCAGAACTCGTGAGTGTTGATCGGTAATGATTTTTGCAAGTCAACGAACAGAGACGGGTCTGCCTTTTGGAACGTTGCGTCGTTCCCACGACGTTAGGGCAGTCAAATATTGTTACACACCGTAACTTGCGCCTGCAGGCTCGTAGAGTGCCGGTGGGGTGCCTTATTTCACCTGTATTCTGGTGGGCGCATACTGGAAAAGGCACACAGATCATTAGTGTCATTGCTACCACGTTTTTTTGTACTGCTGTGTTGCGTGCGCGTCAGTACACCCCAATAAATTTTCGAAATCTTCCTCGTCAAACCACCACGCCATGACACTCTGCGAATGAATTTTGTCACATCTTTCGATTTGTGTTCTTGCTGTCCGTCGCATAGCCTGTGGTACAAGCCTTTTTCCTTCGCCACCGGAACGTTTCGCTTCGCGGAACCCATTCTCAACGTGCGCAACGAGGAGTTCACTAACAAACGCATCATCGCGTACATCGCGCCGTTCGCAGGCAAGCTTTTCCCACCCGGCCGTATTTTGTTTGTCATATCCTAAATACAGCTCATTCGGCGTTCAGACTAGATCGATACAAAATGTAGGGTAGGAACCCCCCCGATCCGTCAATTTCAAAGCCCTGCCCTCAAAGAGACCGTCATCCTCGAATTAATCTTGACGTCTTCTGATCAATGCGTTATCGCGTTCGCTTGTCTTTTCCGTTCGACAAACGAACGCAGGCGGCAAGACCGACCTCTCTGGCCCCGAGGTCTCGAACGAGGGCGACGAGGAGATACTGGTTCGCGAGACGCCCTTCGACCGCCCCGACGATGTTATCGTCGAGGCGAGCGACCTCGAGGAATACCTCAACATGTCGCCCTAAGTTCAGGGCGACATGTTGTTGAGGCACGGGTTAAGCGCCGCCGAAGTCCAGGGCGACATGTTGAGGTAATCCTCGAGGTCGCTCGCCTCCACGACAACATCGTCGGGGCGGTCGAAGGGCGTCGGCAGCTTTTGTCTCCACACAAGTATGCCTGACAAGTTTTGGAGTAGGTTTCGAAGGGGGGAGACCTTAACCTCGAAGTTGCTGCTGGTATTGCTTTGCGCGGAGTGAATGTGTTGGCTCTCGCAAAGCTTCACTGCTGGATTGTCTCATGTCCCCCAGGGGGTTGATGCAGTTAAGATATCCACGCCCTGTAGCGCGGGATGGCGTCATCCTGGACACCCGACCTCACCTCTGCACTCTTTTTGTATGATTATTTTGGATGCGTCGGAGCTACATTTCTTTTATACACCGGCGGCTTATCACGTCGCGCATGGAGACCTGCGCGACGTTCGTGGTGATGGTGAATGATGCATGTTGCTCAGGATGTAGGCTGTTGCGCTGTCGCCTGGTTGGTCAACACGGCAGCGTTTTTTTTTTTTTTTTCTGTGTGATCTACTTCTGCATTTTAGTGAAGAAGGCGGTTGGTGGCGGGGTCTTTTTTCGCGTCTGTCTGTGACCGACGCCGGGAGCCTTCGCCCGCTTCGGGGGGGGGCTTGTTCTTGAAACCTAAGTGAATCTCTGGGGCGGGTACATGTCTGCAGTAGTCTTGTTAGATGACATCAGTTTGTACCTTGGTGATCATGATGATGTGATGATACCTTTGGTCGAGTAAAATATGCTGTTGGGGTGGCGCTTGGCGCGTCTCACACACAGCGTTTGCGGTCTTTGTCTTTTATGTTTTTGCTTTTCTCCAATGGGGGTCGTTGAATGCGTCGTCAAAAGTCCACGTCGTTTCTTATGGCGTCACGTCCCGGAGTGAGTGTCGGATTATGCTTTTTGCTTTTCCTGCATACCTTTGATGCATGTCTCGCGTAGCTCTCAATAGAGTAGTGTTGTGCGCGTCATACATATACGAAACGGAGAGGGCATTGTATCACTAGGTACTCTTCGCTGTTTTGTGTACGGAGGCTCGAGATGCGGTGACTGAGGGAGAATCTTCGGACAGATGGATCGGTGTGTCATGGATTTGATACAAGCGCCGGCTGTTCCTGTCGGTCTAAACTCTGGCGTGTACTTTGTCATCCTTCGTGTTTCCTGTTTGCGTATCAAGCATGTAGCCGGTGCTGCGGGAGTCACTGTAACCGTAGGAAACAGAGAAAATGAAACCGTTTCGAAAAACCACCCCCCCCAAGGTGCACAGCCGGCCTCGCCCTGCCATGGTTGGTAGGCCTTGCCCTGACAAGGTACCAGGACACCCCGGCCCTGTCAAGGTGATAACCTAAGCGACACCTTGTCAAGCTCGTAACCCTGGGGACACGTTGCCATATGGCACCCTGTATGGGTGCAAAATCTGGTATCCTGTATGAGGTTCTCCCCCGGATCCCTGCAGGGGTAGCCGATTGGCTACGGGTGCAGCAAGTCACTTGTCTTGGAAAAAAAAAATGGTTCAATTGTGGGCACCACATGTCTGTATATAAGGCCTGGGGCACCATATTTATCTCGTGTCGAGCAAACACCCTTTTTACAGTGGCGTCAGCGGCAGGATGTCATCCCTACAATGTCAAAGTCCCGGGTTGGAATCCGGGCACGTGAAAATGGGTTACTTGTCCGCCGCCAGCCGGTCAGGATCCGGTTACCGTGCATGCTATGGTGGGTGCGTCGTGGTACCCGCGTATTTGTCTACGATGCTGAGCTGTCCGCTCGCTCGAATCCGGGGGGGTATGTGGGCACCACATGTCTGTGTATAAGGCCTGGGGCACCTTATTTATCTCGTGTCGGGCAAACACCCTTTTTACACAATCCGGAAGAAAAAAAGAAAGTCAAAACGTGGTGGGAGCCACCGGCGAAGGCAATGTTGGAAAAAAAATCGTCCAACCCGCGGTGGGAGTCACGGCGAAGTCACTGTCTTATAAAAAAGATGGCTCCACCCGGAAGAAAAAAATGGTCCAACAAGTGGTGGGAGTCACCGGCGAAGTCACTGCCTTGGAAAAAACTGGTCCAACCTGTTCAACAGCGATTTCACTGTTCCGATAAAAATGGTCCCACCCGGAAGAAATAAAAGAATGGTCGAACCGTGGTGGGAGTCAACAGCGAAGTCACCGCCTTGGAAAATAAATGGTCGAACTGTGGTGGGAGTCAACAGCGAAGTCACCGTCTTGGATCCCCGTAAGCGGCTCCATATTCTGAGTGATAGGCTCATGAACTCGGCTCCCGTTGAGCTGCGTTGATCTGGGCGTGCTGGGCGTTCACACCGTCAAACACCAGTTACGGTCATCCTCGTCCATGACCCCATCACTCCGGGAGATCGAGGCGCGGACCGAACGAGTTTGGCAACAATACGAAACTACGGGACACAAAAACGACGCAAAGCATGTATATATGAGTCGTGGTACCTCGCTTTGATTTGGTCCTAAGTGTGATGGTCTAGGGAGGGTTCAGCGAGGGAGCAACGGCAAAGAGTAACCCGACAGGGGAAACCGGGAACCCTTACCTCGACCATTCCGGCGGGAAGGCGTGTACACTCGCTTTCTCCGAGAGTCCATCGGCGTAGATGTCTAGAATCCTTTCCTCCGTCCCTATCGTGCGAATGCTCCACCGATCCTGAGCAGCACGTGCAACCAGGGTGAGCTGTAGATGTGGATGTGGGTGAGCTATAGATGTGGATGTGCGCTCGAGGGCTGCTTACGACTTTCCTTGCGTGTTGCCCTTCTACATGCGCCCTTCTTGTAGTCTACATTGCTGGCGTCGTCTACACTCCCAAACTCGAACGGAAGAATTCGCCAACAAAGGCGCAGCACACCGAAACGCTACCCACCACTTTATTTCTGGTGGCAATCTTCTATTTCCGATCCTAATCCACAGGAGGGAGGGGAACCGGGTCAGACGAGTTTGGGATCGAGCGAAAAGCGTTTGTTGCAAGCCCCTGTTGGCCCTGGGTCTCTTCAGCAGCGGTCAAAGAGGGTGTGTGTAGTACGGATGTTTTTTCTGTCTTGTCTAGTCTTTTTCTCCCCTCCTCACCTACTTCGCAGCCTTGACAGGCTTCGGGAAGCTGCAGCGGCCTGCAGGGTTGATGGAACCGGAAATACAGCTGGTTGCGAAGTGCATTCTGTACAACAATACACACGTCTGTGCACGTGAAACTGTGCACCTCAGTCCAAAGCACGAGAAATCGTCTGCTGGAACACATGGCGAATGAGAGGGAGAGGAGGTAGAGACGGCAGCAGCGATGACCAGGGGGGGGGCGCGGCTGCGCTCGGTTGGGAGAGAGAAAGCAGAGAAGCCGCGTGCCTCCGGGAGAACGGAGGGGAGGGACCGAAAAGAAAAATGGGCGTCTCTGCCTCTCTCTGCTCAGTTTCAGGATTTCAAACCGACGAAGAAGCGGCGCGTGAGTGCAGTCTCCTGCGCCTCATTTCTATCTCCTCGAGTGCTTCGATTCTTCGCTCAGTCTTCGAGCCAGGAGCTAGAATCTTCGCTCCTGCCTTTTCCCACCAGCACCGCAACGATGAAGGGTTCTCCTCACAGGTTCTAAACTCTGAACCTTTTTCAATACCGAGAAACTTCCTCGGAATATTCTTTTCCGACAAAGTCGTAAGCAGCCCTCATCTTACCCGTCATACTATGCTATTACGAGTACCCCCAATATATCTAATAGACTTCAGTATTATGCAGATACTGAAGACAATCGCCAAACAAGAGCCACAAGACATGCGCATGAAAGAGGAGGCATCACGAAAGCTGCCAGTGCCTTAATCTCCCCAGCACCCTCACCGCGCAACAACGACACGCTGGATCATCTTCGCAACCTGCACCCTAACGAAGATCCTGACGATATTGCCTCTGCGTGGCATTCCAGCATCAAAGCTGCGGGAGATCGTACAAAAACGCACAAGATAGACTCCGTCGTCGAAGCTGATGAACCATTCGAAATCAAGGTCATCAAGCCGACGGTAAACGAAGCCAACCCTCAGCGTGCTCCGGGGCCTGATGGTCTTCGTTTTTCGTATCTCCAAGTTGGTGGAATGAGTGATTCTTTTACTGAAACCTTGGCGGACTTCAGCTCTAAAGTCTTCTACTACGGAGACGAGCTTCCGGATTTCTTGTGGAACCGCCACACCAGTGCCAACCTTTCAGCGCTAGGAGAGATAAAACGGCCGATTGCAGTTGGAGGGGTTTTGCGTCGCATCATCTGCGGGCAGCTTCTGTCGCCAGTACAAGGGAGGGATTGCTAACATCTTCGAAGCAGCATACCAGTTCGGAGGTGGTGTTCCAGGCGGAGTTGAGATAGTGGCCTCCACAGCAGCCCTCAGCCACCAGCAAGGCAGCACCATTCTTTCCTTTGATGGGAAAACATGCTCACAACAGCATGCGCAGAGCCACCTTATTACCAGCAGTGGCCACTCATACACCACACTTGGTGAAATACTTCGGGAATATCTACGCTCGAACCAAGGCGAAATTTCACTTCAAAATGGAAGATGGTTCGATCGAGGTTGTTATTTCACAGCGCGGAGTTCAACAAGGCTGTAATCTGGAAAAATTCGTCTTCTGTGCAAGACTTCTCGATATCATGAAAGAGTTCAACAAGCCACCCGTGCCAGGAGTCAAACTCATCGGATACGTCGACGACCTCCAAGCACATCTTCCACCAGGTTTGGCTAGGAACATGCAGGCCATATCCACTGTAACGAATTGGATTCAGGAACGTCTCTCCCGAAAAGGGATTGAGCTCAGTCTCCCGAAATCCAAAGTCCTTTTCCCGGAGGGTCTTTGCATGTCCTCTTTGACAAATGACGAACAGCAACAGTTGACGAAAATTGGTCTGTCAGTTGCTGAAGGTGGCATGCCAGTAGTCGAGATCCCAGTAGGGACGGAAGAGTTCCAGAGGAATTTAATTTCCAAATTCGCCCGTGGTGACCCGGCGGAATTGATACTCCGCCTAGCAACGCTTGACGACCCTCAAGCCAGCTATCAACTGCTGCGTTTATCTGGTGTGCCACGTTTGTTCCATCTGCTGAGGACGATTGCATAGGGTATTACCAACTCTGCCGCTAGAAAACATGACAACATGATGATGTGGGCAATGAGTAAGATCGTCCTTGGCAAGATGGCCGACAGCATGAGAATACCAACGGTCAAAGAGGTACGCGCAGACCCGACGAAGAGCGAGGAGGTAGATTTCTTCAAAGGGACAGCTCGGGCGCAGGTGCACCTACCCATGCGAGAAGGAGGACTAGGAATCACGAGCAATGTTCTCATTCGAGAATCGGCTTTTGTGGCAGGGCAAGCGCTGGTGTTCTCCAAGTCAGTGCAAGCATCGACAGGATACACAGTTGAGCAACGTCTATCCCGGCTTACCCAGCTACCGACGGGATTGGCTCTAATTGACTCACTCAAGAAGCTAGAGAAGATCATCACCAAAGACAAGCTTGAAGTAGCTGTTGGGCAGTCATGGACTAAACTTGGCACAAGTGATGAGTTAACCCCCGCCCTCAAAGGAGTTTACCTGTTGGAAGCAGGGAAGGTGGGAAAAACCAGTGATGGAAACCCTGACGCAGAACATCAACCACCGTCTACCTATAACCGAAGGGAATTTGGACAACACTACCAAGTCTTTTGGGAGTGACGGAGACGAAGGAAAGAGAAAGGGAAGAAAGGAGGACGAATACGACGATGGAGGAGGAAAACATGGAGGAGTGGAAGAGAGCAAAGGGTTTGAGCCAATGACCTTCCCCATAAGCAAAAACGTAGGACTAGGGAAGAACTTCACAGAGATTCTTGGCAAAATGATCGGAATGATGGTAGCGAACACAAGGAGATAATGGTGACAGTACTCCTAAACGAACTCGAGTATAAGGTAGTTGCCTTGGTAGACACGTGCAGTTTTGTTCTGACCTGCTGTTTCTGTCTTTGATCCGAAGGATAGTTTAGCCTCCCCCATGCTGCCCCCCCCCGGTGTTTGCCATCGGGGTTGGGTTTTCGTCGCTTGGCAACGACGTTGTAAAACAAGCCGCCCCCCCCGGTGTTTGCCATCGGGGTTGGGTTTTCGTCGCTTGGCAACGACGTTGTAAAACAAGCCGCCCCCCCCGGTGTTTGCCATCGGGGTTGGGTTTTCGTCGCTTGGCAACGACGTTGTAAAACAAGCCGCCCCCCCCGGTGTTTGCCATCGGGGTTGGGTTTTCGTCGCTTGGCAACGACGTTGTAAAACAAGCCGCCCCCCCCGGTGTTTGCCATCGGGGTTGGGTTTTCGTCGCTTGGCAACGACGTTGTAAAACAAGCCGCCCCCCCCGGTGTTTGCCATCGGGGTTGGGTTTTCGTCGCTTGGCAACGACGTTGTAAAACAAGCCGCCCCCCCCGGTGTTTGCCATCGGGGTTGGGTTTTCGTCGCTTGGCAACGACGTTGTAAAACAAGCCGCCCCCCCCGGTGTTTGCCATCGGGGTTGGGTTTTCGTCGCTTGGCAACGACGTTGTAAAACAAGCCGCCCCCCCCGGTGTTTGCCATCGGGGTTGGGTTTTCGTCGCTTGGCAACGACGTTGTAAAACAAGCCGCCCCCCCCGGTGTTTGCCATCGGGGTTGGGTTTTCGTCGCTTGGCAACGACGTTGTAAAACAAGCCGCCCCCCCCGGTGTTTGCCATCGGGGTTGGGTTTTCGTCGCTTGGCAACGACGTTGTAAAACAAGCCGCCCCCCCCGGTGTTTGCCATCGGGGTTGGGTTTTCGTCGCTTGGCAACGACGTTGTAAAACAAGCCGCCCCCCCCGGTGTTTGCCATCGGGGTTGGGTTTTCGTCGCTTGGCAACGACGTTGTAAAACAAGCCGCCCCCCCCGGTGTTTGCCATCGGGGTTGGGTTTTCGTCGCTTGGCAACGACGTTGTAAAACAAGCCGCCCCCCCCGGTGTTTGCCATCGGGGTTGGGTTTTCGTCGCTTGGCAACGACGTTGTAAAACAAGCCGCCCCCCCCGGTGTTTGCCATCGGGGTTGGGTTTTCGTCGCTTGGCAACGACGTTGTAAAACAAGCCGCCCCCCCCGGTGTTTGCCATCGGGGTTGGGTTTTCGTCGCTTGGCAACGACGTTGTAAAACAAGCCGCCCCCCCCGGTGTTTGCCATCGGGGTTGGGTTTTCGTCGCTTGGCAACGACGTTGTAAAACAAGCCGCCCCCCCCGGTGTTTGCCATCGGGGTTGGGTTTTCGTCGCTTGGCAACGACGTTGTAAAACAAGCCGCCCCCCCCGGTGTTTGCCATCGGGGTTGGGTTTTCGTCGCTTGGCAACGACGTTGTAAAACAAGCCGCCCCCCCCGGTGTTTGCCATCGGGGTTGGGTTTTCGTCGCTTGGCAACGACGTTGTAAAACAAGCCGCCCCCCCCGGTGTTTGCCATCGGGGTTGGGTTTTCGTCGCTTGGCAACGACGTTGTAAAACAAGCCGCCCCCCCCGGTGTTTGCCATCGGGGTTGGGTTTTCGTCGCTTGGCAACGACGTTGTAAAACAAGCCGCCCCCCCCGGTGTTTGCCATCGGGGTTGGGTTTTCGTCGCTTGGCAACGACGTTGTAAAACAAGCCGCCCCCCCCGGTGTTTGCCATCGGGGTTGGGTTTTCGTCGCTTGGCAACGACGTTGTAAAACAAGCCGCCCCCCCCGGTGTTTGCCATCGGGGTTGGGTTTTCGTCGCTTGGCAACGACGTTGTAAAACAAGCCGCCCCCCCCGGTGTTTGCCATCGGGGTTGGGTTTTCGTCGCTTGGCAACGACGTTGTAAAACAAGCCGCCCCCCCCGGTGTTTGCCATCGGGGTTGGGTTTTCGTCGCTTGGCAACGACGTTGTAAAACAAGCCGCCCCCCCCGGTGTTTGCCATCGGGGTTGGGTTTTCGTCGCTTGGCAACGACGTTGTAAAACAAGCCGCCCCCCCCGGTGTTTGCCATCGGGGTTGGGTTTTCGTCGCTTGGCAACGACGTTGTAAAACAAGCCGCCCCCCGGGTTTTCGTCGCTTGGCAACGAAGGTGTAAAACAAGCCGCCTCCCCCGGTGTTTGCCATCGGGATTGTGTTTGCGTCCCTTGGCAACGACGTTGTAAAACAAGCCGCCCCCCGGGTTTTCGTCGCTTGGCAACGAAGTTGTAAAACAAGCCGCCCCCCCCGGTG